GTTGGGTTTGAAAGCACAGGAGCCCCAGGAGGGAAGCTGGGCAAGGATTGGCCGCTTTGTGCCCAGGGCCCCTGTGAAGGTGTGGGGAGAGAGGAGGAGTTCAGAAGTGAACAGTTTGGCTCAGTGGTTACAGCACTGGCCTTCGGACTGAAGAGCCCCAGATTTGATTCTGTGCCTGGGTTGTGGGCTCCATCCCCAGTGTGGGGCATGCAGGAGGCAGCCCATCAATGGTTCTCTCTCATCACTGATGTTTCTATCTCTCTCAATCAATTTAAAAAATATATATATTTTATTGATTTTTCACAGAGAGGAAGGGAGAAGGAGAAAGAGTTAGAAACATCGATGAGAGGGAAACACCGATCAGCTGCCTCCTGCACACCCCCCACTGGGGATGTGCCCACAACCAAGGTACATGCCCTTGACCGGAATCGAACCTGGGACCCCTGAGTCCACAGGCCGACATTCCATCCACTGAGCCAAACCAGCCAGGGCTGAAATAAATTAAAAAAAAAAAAAACTTTTTTAAAGACTTCTGGGGGACACCCTTTGTGACAACACAGTGACAACATAGTGCAATAAGAGGGGTATTGCCAGCAGCCTTGGAGCCCTGGCGACCCCTAGGAAGGATTAACATGGACAGATCAGCCTGCAGACAAGGCCCGGGGAAGGATTTACATTGAGAGCAGATCCAGCCCTCAGACAGGGTGGGAGGGGGAGGGGCGGAGGGGCGGGAGTGGGGGGTGGTGCTCGCAAGAACTATGCCCGGCGCAGGCCAGAGCACAGAGACGCTCAGAACAGCCTTCTTCCCACACACCTGGTAGCGCGCTTCCCCTGTCACCCTCCACAGCTCGTTCATGGCCATGATGTAGAAACACTCGCTGAAGATGGTTCGCTGCACCTTGACCGGGCGGCCATCCCGCGTCAGGACAAAGGCACACTTCTTCCCGGGAGGCGCCACTCGAGCGCAGCGCAGCAAAAACTCGCCCCCTGGTGGTCGGGAAGTGGACATGCTACCACTCAGTTGAGAACACCACCTTCCCTCACTTCATTCACTGTTTCTAAACCCCCGTCTCCGCAGGAAGTAGGAGCACAGGAACTATTGAGTAAACTTGGGAGTGACCTCTGGGGAGGTGGGGCAGGGTGGGGGCACCTGCTTTAGCCGATTCCAGAAGTTCAGGGCGGCGGAAGCGCTCAAATTTGCGGTACAGATGACAGTACATCCACACCTGGAAGGGCAGAGGGAACACGGCTTAAACGGGGAGCAGAGGGACCCCAGGGCTGGGATGAGGGGGAGTCAGGAGAGGAATCGTGTTTTGAGATGCCAGGCCTTGTGGTGTGGGTGTTTGTGCATGCGTGGACCGTAAGCCTGGCGTTGGCTTATGCCCCTGGGAGAGCTACAAGCCTCAGCACATCCCTACCTGCCTCCCCTGCAGCCAGACATACTTGAGGTCGTCATACACCTTCCCATCTCGGCCGAGGCAGGTGAAGAAGCCCCTGTGGGACACACCTCAAGTTAAGGCCTGCACCCCCCACAGCCCACTGGGCCCAGCAGATCTGTGTCTGCTGGGGGGGGGGGGGTCAGGGGGGCAAAGACCACGTTGAGGAGATGAGAATGAAGAGGCGAACCCGTGCTCCTGGTCGTGGGAGTGCTCCGTCCAGAAAGCCACCACGCGGTCCAGCTCCTGCTCCACGCGCTCCTTCCAGGCTTGCAGAGTCTCCCGCTCCTTCTCCATATCCTGGGCAAACTTAGGACTTGGAGGCTCAGCACCCGACAGACCCCTCCTCCCCATCACCCTGGTATCCACCCTCCTCAACGGGCTCCTCTGTGCCCAAGACACCGCAGGCTTGAGTGGGCTGTCTGACCCCTCTCCCGGGCTTGGGGACCCAGCCCTTGGGGGTCCCCCACACCCCCACCAGCCGTGTGCAGGGCTGTCCTCCGGCCCGGGATCAGCCACAGGGCTGATCCCACCAACCCCGGACATCTACCCCGCACGGGTCCCACCATGGGCCAGCCACACTCTGAGACACCCCCCTCCACCTCATCCCTACCTCTCCTCCAGGAAGCCAAACGGAGCGGGTCAGGGTCCCGTGACTGTCACTCAGCTGATCCAGATTGCCCCACCCATCCCCTCCTCCCGGGTTTTGTAGGGCCTGAGGGCGGGGAGCCGCTGCGGGGCGGAGCTTGGTCACCGCTAGGCCCCGCCCCCGCGCTCGGGCTCCGCCTTCACGTTCGGGCTCGCTGTGGCCCTCTGGTGGCTGAACTTACCGATTGCCGCAGCTGGGGCCCTCAGCTCAATAAACTCTTGGTGGGAAATACTGGGTAGCCGAGAGGAAGGTCTGGGGCTGTGGGGGGTGTTTTGGGGAACACGAGCCGGCTTTCCCTCCTTAACCACCTCCCCCTGAATCCCAGGGCATATATGCACTAGTCTTTGATGTCACAATGCCTGCCTGTCACAATGCCTGGAGGCCCCTGGGCTCGTCAGGTCAGAGTTGGTGGAGTAGGGAAGCTGTGTCACAATGAGTAGGACCCCACCCAACATGAGACACCACGAGCCCAGCAGAGTTAGCACCAGGGAAAGAAGAGCTGGCCCTGAGAGGCTCCCTGGGAGAGAGAGAATTGGACTGGGCCTCCCTTGCAACTGTGTGCCTGCCGGCACTGTATGAGTTCCTGCCGAAGGCTGACCTTCCCAACCCTTTGTGATGTTTGAGAATAAGACTGACCTCCCTTAGTGTGGTCCCATGCACCCCGAAAGATCATTGGTTCAATTCCCGGGCAGGGCATATACCCAGATTTCAGGTTCAATCCCCAGTAGGGGCTTCTAGGAGGCAGCTCATCGATATTTCTCTCTCATCAGTGTGTGTGTGTCTCTCTCTCTCTCTCTATATATATATATATATATATTTTTTTTCCCCAATAAAATTATATTTAGCCTTAGCTGGTGTGGTTCGGTGGATGGAGCATCGGCCTTTGGACTGAAGGGTCCCAGGTTTGATTCCAGTCAAGGGCACATGCCTGGGTTGTGGGCTCGATCCCCAGTGGTTGTCAATCAATAATTCTCTCTCATCATTGATGTTTCTCTTTCCCTCTCCCTTCCTCTCTGAAATTAATAATGACAAAGACAAAACATCTAAGAAGTGCAATAAAACAAGGTATGCCTGTACATTGTAGCTCTCTGTGCCACCTCCACCCTCTGCCTTAGCTCAGGCTCAGGGGCCTCCTTGCTTTGGGCCCAGCCAGGCTTGTGTTGACCTGCCCTGCTCACAAACGCCTGTCCTTATTGATGGCATGTCCCTGTACATTCAGCCTCTCCCTTGTCTTCCTCTCACTCTGTCCCCATCATGCCTAGCCAAGGCTTGGCTCAGTGGATAGAGCATCGGTCCCGGGTTTGATTTGGTCAAGGGCGCATGCCTGGGTTGCGGGCTCGATCCCCAGTAGGAGGTGTGCTGGAGGGCAGCTGATCAATGATTCCCTCTCATCATTGTTGTTTCTATATATCTCTCTCCCTCTTCCTTTCTCTCTGAAATCAATATAAATAAATAAATAAATAAATATTGACAACATTCCTTTCCCCTGGTGGGTCTCTGCCCAGGAGACTGATGAGTGGTGAGCCCATTAAAGACCTTCACCAACTGGTGTAGCCCTGCCTTCTTTTTTTAAAAAAAAAAAGATATTTTATTGATTTTTACACAGAGAGGAATTGAGAAGGACAGAGTTAGAAACGTCGATGGGAGAGAAACATCGACCAGCTGCCTCTTGTACACCCCCTACTGGGGATGTGCCCGCAACCAAGGTACATGCCCTTGACCGGAATCGAACCCGGGACCTTTCAGTCCGCAGGCCGATGCTCAATCCACTGGGCCACACCGGTCTCGGCATGGCCCCGCCTTCTGGAGTGCCATACAGGCCACCCTGAGGCAGGTGAGTGAGTTGGGACAGCAGAGAGTAAGTGGGAAGAACCCTTACAGCACTTCAAAGATTAAGCATCCAGCCATCTGTCACAGGCCTGACAGATCTGCACAGGCCCCGCCCCTTCTGGGGCCAGCCCCACAGACCATTGGCAACAGCTGGTCTGCATCAACCCCTCACCCCAGCATTGCTCCAGCTACTCCAATCTGGACCTGTGCCTGCCTCTCCCCGTGCAGGCGCCTGGGCTCATTCAAGTCTGAGTTGGTGCAGCGGGGAAGACAGAGCTGTGGCTCCCAGTGTCACGATCAATAGGACCACACACAATACGAGACACCAGGAGCCCAGGGAGTGAGCACCAAGGAAAGAGGAATTGGCTCCGAGGGGCTTCCTGGGAGAGATGGAATTGGACTGGGCCTCCGTGACCTGACACTGCATGGGCATGCGCATTTGCCAGGCAGAGATGGAGGCAGCTTTTGGCACCAGAGTTAAGGGGCCGGGGGGGGGGGGGGGGGGGGAGGCAGGTGTGCTGAATTCTCCCCTTGTTTTGTCCTGAGCACCCTCTGACCCTGGCTATACCCTAGCAAAAGCACCCCACCCAACAGCAGGGCTATCACAGTTGGTTCTGCTGCTTCCTCTCTGGGGGTGCAGCACAGGGAACCTGGACAAGAAGATTCACTCTTGCAGCGCCAGACAGGGGAACCACCCAGTGGGCGACAACAGCTAGGTAATTGATGTTCTGAGGTCCTTTTGGGGGTCCTGGGCCCCTGGTGGAAGGACCTCCGGCTAAGCCCTCCCCAACTGGCAGCTAGTGTCCTGCCCAGCCTTTGCCCCAGCCCCCTAGTTGGGAGAGGTGATCTGGTCCCGACAAGAGTTAGTAGTAACTACTATGGGACCTTCTGCTGAGACAATCTGGTCCTATCCAAGGTCAAGGGCCATGGTGGAACCTTGAAACGTGAGGCAATTGGGAAGCAGAATCCCACTCACACAAAGTCCCTGCAAAAGGCTCCCTGGGGATTTGAACTTGGGAGTCCCACCTCCCCGCCCCTGGTCCCCTCCCAATGGGAGTTCCAGACACACTGAAGACATCAGGTGGTTATTTCAAAAAAGGTCTTTTAATTGTTCAAAATAGCACAAAACGACATTGCACTATGGTAATATTGAGTCACGGGGGTTACTCTACAATAGAACGGGCGTACTGTTCTTAGAAACGAGAAATCAAAGGGCGCTTGGGACGAGGGACAGGGAAACGATGAAACCAGGCGAATGGGCTCCAAGGTGACTAAACATGACATTTTCCACAGCGAAATATACTATAATACAACAACCAGAGGCCCCAGAAAGGAGCCAGGCGGTGGGGGCATGGGGGGGCAGTCATCAGCTACAGCTGGTCTCCACTGCAGACTGGGGTTGGGAGGCGGCGCCTGCAGTCGGGCAGCTCACCTAGTGGGACCGGCTTGCAAACCTTGCTCCTTACCAGAAAGCTGGCTCAGTAGCCACTCTGAGCAGAGGCCTAAGCCCGAGTCCCCATAGGACTGACTACACAGCCTTGGGACAGTGCTGCACATTCAGAGACATGATAGCCAGTGCTGTCAACCCACACGCATGCCCTCTGACTGCCTGAAGTTCCCCTTCATGCCTACCCCACCCTTCCCCTTACTAAGTTGCTTGTGGAGTGGAAGTGGGTGGCTGCAGGAAGCGGTAATTTAATTGAGGGTGTCGGATACTCGAAGCCAGCTATGCCAAGGAGGGAGCCTGGGGGCGGGGGGCGGAGGGATGCTGTGAACCAGGATCAGGATGGTTGGCCCGGGCCTCTGGACTGTCCCCCTCAGAAACCTGACTCGAGGTTCCCGCACATTTTCAAGCTCAATCCTGTGGTGTGAGGTGGAGCACTCGCCCGTGGAGAGTGATGTTTGACAGCTCACCCCTTCTTCATCCCGGAGGCTTGAGGACAGGCACAGGGGCAGAGGGCAGAGCCGGGAAGAGGAAATTGAGCTGCGCAGAAAACACCGGGTGCACGGGGGGGGGGGGGGGGGGGGGAAGATTCCATGCCTCGTCTATCCTGGCTGCCCCCAGCTTTTCCTCCCGAAGGATGCCTGCGCCAAGGCTTAGCCAAGGAGAGAAGTTAACAACAACAACAAAAAAATACACATTCTGTACACAACTAACAAAAAAGGGACAAAACCCCACACGCTAAGGCTAAAATTACAATAAAAATGTTGCCTTCAATTTAAACTTAAAAAAATACAACAAATGCAGCAGTTGGTGATGTGGCCCCTGGCTCCAACCCAGGGGGGCCGAAGCCAGGCTGGGTGGGGGGGGGGGGGTAGGGGGCTTCTGTAGGCCCCGCCGGGAGCCAGGTTTTCACAGAACACTGCTCAGCCCACCATGGGGCCCCTTCTCCCCCTTTCGGCTTCTTTCTTTCTTGTCGTCTCTTACAAGGGAAGAGGGAAGGAGGAGATGGGGGAGATAAAAAGGCCTCTGAGAAAAATGTGTAAGCTTCCCATGGGATCACGGGCAGAGATGGGCTGGGTTAAGTCAAGGGCGGGCTATTAGGTGGCGGGAAATGCAACGGGAACAAAATAAAATAAATCATACACACACACACACACCCAGCTCAGGCTGCCCCCACAAAGCGGTGTAGGGGGGGTTGAGGGGTGTTGTTCCCTGGCTTCAGTCCACTGCCCCTCGGCCGCCTTCTCCAGCCAAGGGGAATCAATAGCAAGAGGCTCCCAGGTTGGCGGGGCGCGGGCCCCCACTGCTTTCGCATCTTTGCTTTAAAGTTTGTTTCCCTCCCTCGGGGTCTCTGGCCTCGGGGGCGCTCAGCCCCCACGGGAGGCCTGGAGAGGAGCAAGTGCACTGCTCTCACGGGCTCACGTTTCTTCCAGACCTGCCTCTGCTTCCTCCCAACAGCAACGGTAAGATGTGCTTTCTTGAGATTATTTTCAAAACAGAGAAAAGGAGAGAGAATGGATGGTGGCCAGTAGCTTGGGAGGGTAAAGTGTAAGCGCTCAGGGGTGGGATGGCCCGGGAGGGCCCTGGTGGGTGGTGTTCCTGAAGCAGAGGTGGGGTCAGGAGAGGAATCCAGGTGCGAGCCAGCTGCCTCTCACTGGCCATCTGCCTTAGATTTCTTTGGAGCGGTTTTCCTGGGGAGATGGGAGGAAAAGGGAAAGAGAAAGTGGGCGTTAGCATGGCTCCTGACGACACTATAGGACTTGCAGTGGGGGTTCATACCCAGTTAAGCCCCCTCCATCATTTAAGAAGTGAAGCCCCCCACCCCGCAAAGGGCTTACATTTCGGGGGAGGACATGGGCCGCTTGCTGGCAGGCTTGGTGCCAGGGCTGTCTTTACTGGTTTCTGAAAGGAAAACGGAGCAGTGAGACACGGTAAGGTGGGTCCAGTAACTTCAGCCACACAACAGTCCACAGGCGACCCACCCCTGACCCATCCCATCCCCTCCCTCAGCCTCTGGCCCTACAGGGGGACCAGCTGGCCTGCTGGATCTGCGGCCCCTCCCTCTGGTGGGTACATTCCCCATGGTCCTGGCCACCTGTGTGCCACCCCAGGTGGCCCTGGACTCAGGTTAGAGGCCCTCACTGTCCTCCCTGGTCAGCCTAGGGGAGCTGACTTGCCAGGGCAGCCTGGGGCCTCCACTCCCTACCCTTCTTGTCCTCTCCACCCAGCTCACCTCAAACATCCCTGGGAAGCTTTCCCTGTACCTCCAGATGAGGCAAGGTGCCCCAGGGGACCCCCACAGCACCCTAGGCCCTCACCCACCCCATCTGATGCTTGCCAGGGCTTCCACTCCCTAACCTGCCCCTCCGCAGAGAGCGCCCAAGAAGCCTTAGAAATGAATGACACCCACCTTGCAACCACCTCACTTGGGTGGCCGGGCCGTAGCCCTTCTCGTTGCGGGCGGCGATGCGGAAGATGATGGCAGGCTTGGTGGTGTAGTCAATGTGGGCGTTGGAGAGGCTGGATGATTGCACGAGGCAGGAGGGGCTGGGCCCGCAGTACACGCGCATGAAGGCCAGCTGGGCCGGGGTGGAGCTCTTGGTCTCACCGCCGGCCTGTGAGCTCTGGATGGCCAGGTACACCGAGTACTCAACAATCTTGCCGGAGGTCACAGAGGGCGGCTCCCAGGTGAGGTGAGCACCATCCGGACTCTAGAACCGAGGTGGCAGAGGTGAAGCGGTGCTGGGCTTCGGCCTTTGAGTTTATCCCGCGCCCTGCCTGTGCTAGGCCACTGCACCACTCCCAGAGCTGACCACCCCCCGTTCCCACCACTCCTGTCACAGCAGGCTGCTGTCACAGGAGTTCAGGGAGCGCCAGAGATGGCTCATCTGCCTCCATCTAGAAGGAGCCTCATGTAATGGCTAAATGATCAGAGCCCGGCCAACACGGACCAGTGGGTGAGCGTCGACCTACGAACCAGACTCACTTTGCTGATTTTAATGGCACAGGGGGCCCCTGGGAAACCAGGCAGACACGTCTTAAAAGCCGAGATCTCACTGAAGGGCCCCCGGCCACAGGCGTTGATCCCAGCGACACGGAACTTGTAGGCTGTGCCAGGCTGCAGTTCATGCTTCTTCAGTTGGTTATAGTCCGGAAGAGTGCCCGAGTCGTCCTGGGGAAGAGGCCGGGAAAACGGGAAGAGGGAGAGAGGAAAGTGGCGTCAACCCCACTATCAAGAGTAAGGTGACCAGATGTCCCGATTTTTAACAATTTGTCCCGCGGTATTTTAAAGAAAGGTCCCGATTTTTGGGGGGGAAATTGTCGAAAATCGGGACTGTCCCGCTAAAAGCGTGTTGTCTGGTCACCTTAGTCAAGAGGGCAGCTCTGGGGCCAGCAGACCAGTTTTTCCAACCTATGGACCTGTAGGTCCATGTCGGAGAGAGGAAGCGAGAAAGAGAGCAAAAATGACAACCCCTTGCCAACAAGAAGGAACACTGCTGCCCTCGGCTGGCTCCAGGCAGGGGGCTTTAGAAGGCCCCTCAGGGCCCTATGCCAGCCTTATGACCAGGACCCACCCACCTGAGGGCATCAACTCCCAGGGTCACTTACATCAGACGGGGCAGCATCATCAGGTGGCAGGAAGTAGTGTGTCACCATGACATTAGTGCCCTTAATAACGCCCACATCAAACCACTGGTTCTCTTTCTTCACGGGGGCTTTGCTGGGCGGGGGTGGCAGGTCTGGCTTCTGGAATACAGAGAGGGAGGAGGTCAGGCCCTCGGTCTTTGGGGCCCAGAGGTAGTGACCCCCGAAGCCCCATCACTTGAGACTCACCACACCCAGGGACTCAATGCCATTGGCCACCTCAGTCAGGGTAGCGGCGGCCTGCAGCTTAGCGGGACTGGATCCCACGACTGGCTGGGGGGCCACAAACGTGTTGGAAGGAGCCAGGCCTGGGAGGAAAGAAGGTGTCAGCGGGAAAGAACCCAGAAACTCCGTTTCTGCATGGGGGCCCTTCCCTCAGACCAGGCCGCCCTCCCAGTCTGTGCGGGGAGGGGGGGGGGGCACAGATAACCCCCAAAACCTCTCCCCAGTCCGCGGAGACCCTGGGGGACAGTGCACATGGCCACACGGGGCTCTACTCACTCTCAGTGGCTGTGGAGGGCAGCAGGGCCACAGTGCTGGGCACGGCCCCGGCCAGCTCACTGAGGCAGTTGCCCTCGATGGTCGGGTCGTTGAGGCTATCGGCAGGGGCCAGGGCCTCCGTGGGCAGGTGGTGGTGCTGCTGCTGCTGGGCCTGTGCCTCCTGCAGCTGCTGCTGCTGCTGCACCAGGGCGGCCAGCTCTTGCTGCGTCAGCACGATGGGGATGGTGGTGGCCTGGCCCTCCTGGCCCTCAGCAGACAGGTGGCTCAGCTCCGCCTGGGTCACAGCTGCTGCCCCCTCGGACGTGTCCATGGCTTCCCCGGTGCCTGCTCCAGAGTGGAGAGAAATCCTCCTCAGCAGGGGCGCCAGCTAGGCGGAGCCCATCCCTGGCTTTCCAGTGTCGCCTCCTGAGCCCGCCCCCCCCCGTCAAGCAACCCAAGCCCCGAAAGCCTGTCCCATCGGCCACGCTTCCTGGCCTACCTCTCCCCTGCCGTTCCACAAAGAACCTGCCCGCTTCCCGGGTGTCCAGCGAGCCTAGCAGCTGTGCCCCTCTCCTCCCCTTTATGTAGGCTCCGCTCCTCCCTAGCAGGAAGCAGGCCTCCTCCTCTTCTCTTGGCTGCCCGTCAGCAGGGAGGTTCCAGAACCCTGTGTTCTCTCTCTTCCTGAGGGCTCATCCTCCCTTCGGGGCACTGGTGTGGACTTGACCTCACACGGAGGAGTGAACTCTCCGGCCCCAGCACCTACCCATGACAGCCTGCTGTGCGGCCTGCAACACCGCCTGGATGGCCAGGGCCTGGGCTTCCTCTGTGGCCGCAGCCTGGGCAGCCGCTTCGGCAGCGGCGGTCACTGCCAGCTCCTCAGGGGTGAGCCCCGTGACCATGAGGGTGGTAGTGCCCGCTTGGGCCTCAGCCATCAGCTCTTGGGGAAGTGACAACTGGTCTACTTCCGACTGGGTGGGCGCCGGTGGCTGGACCACCACAGTGGCCACCATGGCGGAGTTGGCAGACTCCTGGCCCGAAGCGGGGTCGCCTGTGCTGCTCAGATCCACAGCGGCCTGGAGCTCAGAGGTCTGCGAGGCTGACAGGACCTCGGCGGACTCCCCCATCATGGGGGTGGAGGCAGGCTGCAGGAGTTGCTGTGGCGGCAGCTGCTGGCGAGGCCCGGGGGAGGCCTGGAGTTCCTCTGGGGGCTGCAGGATGTCAACAGCAGAGAAGGGCATGTCAGAAGTTTCTGTGTTGGCTATGGTCACTGTTATCGTGGCCGGGATGGGGACTTCGGTGGTCAGAGCCCCTGGGGCAGTTTCGGTCACTGATGAGATCTTCTAGAAAGGGAGAGAAGCCCCTGTCAGAGGGGAGGAGAGGGAGGCCAGGACCAGGCACCCTTCATCTTTCTTTAGGGCCTGGATTCCCATTCGCCATGGACCGGCACAACCCCTCTAAACGGGCAGGGGTGGCAGGTCACTGAGCAGCAGGTGTCCAGCAATGGGAGAAGACACCTCTGAGACCTGCTGGCCAATGCTAACCCATCCTCAAGGAAGCCTCCCAGACTAGTCAGAAAGGGGCACTCAAATGCCCCCCACCCTTGTTGCCCCTCTAGGCTATAGTGAACCGGCAAGCCATGGCCCTGGGGGACCGGTGCCTCTCGCCCTGTTGTGCCAGGAGGTTGCCCCTCTCATAATCTGGAGAAGGGGCCAGGAGCAGCGTTGTGCGTGGTGCAAGAGTGACACCTGGTGTCCAAAGCCGGAACAGCAAGGGCAGCAGATGCACTGGGCTGCAGGGAGGCAAAAGGGGACTTTCCTGGGGCTCTTACCGGCACCGAGGGGCCGGGGACTGGGGTGGACTGTGTCACGGTGGTCACAGCCCGCGTCAGCGTGGAGGACACAGTCGTCGTGATGGCACTGGAGCTGGTGATGTTCACGCTGTCGCCCTGGGTGCTCTCCGCCTCTCCTTGGTCACTGGCAGCTGGTGGCGGATCTGAGGGGACAGGCACAGCTGGGTGACAGGCACTCAGCCAGCAGGGACGTAGAGATGAGGCTGGTTGCCAAGAGCCCCGGGGTCTCTACCCAGCTTTGCCACTAAAGGACAGTTGCCAGGACTCCGCCCCCCTCCCCCCCCAGGTAAACCGAGCCCCACGGGATCTGGGGCTCTGGCTAGATAGATCTTTTACCCACCACGGCCCTTACTCTTCTAGCTTGGGCTCCAGGAGACCACCGACACCAGACTGGCCACCTGCACTCACCTTGGTTGGAGCTCATGTTGGAGGTGACCGTGGTGGCCGTGTGCGTGGTGCCTGTCTCGTGAGTCTCACAGGGGGGGTTGGAGCACACCCTCTGTGTTGGGAAAGGGGTCAACAGCGAAGCGCTGGTCTGGGGAGCGCTGGTGGGCGGTGCTGCCCCCTCCAACCCGGACTCCTGGGTCCTGAGGGGCGGGTTGCTGTCCGGGGCTGTGGCACCCACGCTGACTGACATGGTGGTGCCGGTGGAAGTGGTCTGGTGCGTCTCGCAGGGGCGGCTGGCGGGGGGCTGCTGCTGCTGCTGCTGCTGCGCCCCCTCGGGCTGGCCTGCACCCACACCGGAGGTGGCGGTGGTGGGCGTATGGGTGGTGCCCGTCTCATGGGTCTCGCACGGTGGGTTGGAGCAGACGCGCTGGGCGTTGCCTGCATTCGAGGTAGTGGCCGTGTTGGTGGTGCCCGTCTCGTGGGTCTCGCAGGGTGGGTTGGAGCAGACCTGTGTCACGGGGGCCGGGGAGCACAGCAGTGTCTCCAGGCCTGTCACAGTCACAGCGGCACTAGAAGAGCTCTCACATGCAGGCGTGGGGGTCCCCCGCAGCTCGCCGGACTCCCCAGCACCCATGCTGGAGCGGGCCGTGGTGGGGGTGTTGGTTGTGTGGGTGTGCTGTGCCTCCGGCTGGCGCCCCATGGACACCAGCTGGCTTAGGTCGGTGACAGGGCTGTCCTTGCTGCTGGGGCCAAGCCTGACTTGGCCACTTGCAGGGGCCAGCTGCACGAAAGCAGGGCTGTCTGAGCGCGAGGCCCCAGTAGCCATCACAGTCATAGTGGTGTTGGTCGCGCTGGTCTGGCGAGTTTGGCATAAGGACTTGAAACTCACGGCTCCCTCCAGTTTCCCGGTGGGCACGGTGACCCGGATCACAGGGATGGTGGTGGCCGCGCAGGGGTGCCGGGTGCCTTGCTGCTGGCCGGCACCGATGCTCGACATGGCAGTGGTGGCGGTGCTGGTGGTACCCGTCTCGTGGGTCTCGCAGGGTGGGTTGGAGCAGCCGAGCTGCCCAGCCATGTTGGAGGTGGCAGTGGTGGCCGTGTTGGTGGTGCCCGTCTCGTGGGTCTCGCAGGGCGGGTTGGAGCAGACGCGAACCACACTGCCGTTCTGCTGCGCCACCGTGGAGGTCACGAGGGAAGCGGCTGCGTCGGGCCTGTCGCAGACGAACTGCACTTGGGTTGGCTGCGGGTGCCCTCCCATGTTAGCCACGACGGTGGTGGTGGCGGTGTTGGTGGTGCCCGTCTCGTGGGTCTCGCAGGGTGGGTTGGAGCACACCAGCGTCACGGTGCCTGGCTGCACGTCCCCCTGGCCAGAATCGGCGATAGTGACAGTGGCCGTGGGCTGCTCTGTGGTAGGCGAGGCCAGAATGGACACCGGAAGGTCGTGCACGGGCTGGGCCTCGACCCCGCTGGGTGCCGTGATCAGAGTCACCTGAGTAGGCTGTGAGACAGGCTAGAAAGACACCAGACGGGAAGAGTTAGTGCCCCACCTTCCCATGTTTGCCCCTCCCAGTGTCCTACAGTGTCCCCCATGCTGGCTGGGACCACAGACTCGTCTCCTGCTCGCCCTCTCACCCCAAAACACCAACATGCTCAGGGACCAAGGAAGAGGCACTGAGGGCCTGGGAAGGTGCTGGGGGCAGCCGAGGAAGAGTCTAGGTGGGGCCAGCCCTGGTTGGGAAGGAACCCCATTGACCCCATAAATGCCAGCAACAGAGGCTTCACCAAGTCCAGGAATTAAGGTTAAGACACGAAGAGAAGGAAAATGCTATATACATGTGAACATATACGGTCCCATCTCCTATACTATCATAAGAAAGAAAAATCTAGCATTCAAAACTATAAACCACTGAAATATGTCTCAACACAAAAGATGACTAGTGATGAAAAATTGATTTGGCAACAGGGAACACATCCCATGGGTGCTACGTGCATGAGGAAGAAAGAGAACGTGGTGCACGCAAATGAGAGACTGGACACACTCAGGCTGGGCTCACGCACCCAACACTTATGGACAGGAACCCACAGCCCTCATGCACGTCCCCCCGTCCCCACGTTCCTTACCTGCATCGTGATGGTGGGTGTGGTAAGACTTCCGGCCCCTGTCAGCGTGGTCTGAGCAGCAGACACAGTGATGGCAGTGGGATTGATCACTTGGCTGGAGAGGGTGGCAATGGTGCCCAAGGTGGTGATGGGTGTGGCCAGGGAGGCACTGGTACTGTGGCCCCCAGCTCCCGCGAGGCTGGTAGAAACGGTGCCCGTCATAGTGCCTAAGGTTGTGACGCCTAAAGGCAGAGAGGCAGGAGGGAGATGAGGCCTGCTGCTGGTACCTCCTTTCGAGCAGTTTCTCAACCTGGACGGGAAATCTAGAGTGCCCCCACCAGAAACAGAAGGCTCCAGAGAGATCACCTGCACCCTCCCCCAAGCCTCGGATGGGAGGTGGACCCAGGAGAATATGCAAAGCAGCTCCCACCTGTGGTGCCCTTCACAACCAGGGTGGTGACGGCCGGCTTGACGGCAGAGACGGTGCCAGGGGTGACCAGGCGGACGCCCCCCATGGGCACGGTGCGAAGAATGGTACCTGGCTGTCCGGGAGCGCCCTTCAGCACCACCTAGAATGCCAGGGAAACCACCCCAATATACTCAGAGACTGGCTGGATCTCATGCTGCCCCCTTCCCGGACCTTCGGGTCTGCTCAGGTCCTAAACTGAACAGTGGGGGTCAGCCAGGCACGCCTCACCTGGGTCACTCCTTGCTGCCCATGGCCAGTGGCAATTTTGGGGACAGCAGTGATGATTTTCGCAGGTGTTCCAGTACCTGAAGTCATAACCTTGGTGGTGATAATAGTGATGGGGGACTTGATGCCAGGACTGCTTGTCACACCTACACAGGAGAGGGGTTTTAGGCTGGGTTCCTGAGGCCCCACCAGTGCCAGCTCCCGTGTCCCATTTCCAATAGCTACTCTTTTTTTTTTTTTTTTTAAACATTTCTTTATTGATTTCAGAGAGGAAGGGAGGATAGAGAGCTAGAAACATCAACGATGAGAGAGAATCATTGATTGGCTGCCTTCTGCACGCCCCCTACTGGGGATCAAGCCCGCAACCCGGGCATATGCCCTTGGCTGGAATCGAACCTGGGACCCTTCAGTCTGCAGGCTGACGCTCTATCCACTGAGCCAAACCAACTAGGGCTCCAGGAGTTACTCTTAATGCCCCTCACTTAAAATGATGGAGTGCCGCCCTAGCTCAGTGGCTAGAGCGGACTGAAGGGTCCCAGGTTCAATTCCGGTCAAGGGCATGTACCTCAGTTGTCGGCTCAATAATCCCCAAGGCTGGTGGGGTGCGAGAAGCAACCAATAAACTGAAGTGTCTCTCTCACAACAATGTTTCTTTCTGTCTCTCCCCCTCCCTTCCACTCGCTTTAAAAATCAATGGGAAAATTTGCGCTGGGACGGGTTTGGCTCAGTGGATAGAGCGTCGGCCTGCAGGCCTGCAGACTGAAAGGTCCCGGGTTCGATTCCGGTCAAGGGCATGTACCTTGGTTGCGGGCGCACCCCCAGTAGGGAATGTGCAAGAGGCAGCTGATCAATCATTCTCTCTCATTGATGTTTCTAACTCTCTATCCCTCTATCTTCCTCTCTGTGAAAAATCAATAAAATATATATTTTTTAAAAAATCAATGGGAAAATGTCCTCAGGTGAGGATTAACAAAAAAGACCACCAAATCAATGAAGTGACAATTAAAACCACACTCTGATACCTCCCTACAAACCTTAAATAAAAGGACAGGAGAGGGTGAAGAGGGGGGAAAAAAAAGACAAACAGAAACCAAGAGCACGGCAGAGCCTGGCTTCTATGCCTATCTGACATTAGCCTCCTGCCAGTTCATTGCCCATGCGCTGGGGGAGACCCCTACCTGTGGCGCCCGCCTGGGTGATAATGGCGGACATGGGGATCGTCTTGATGATAGTGGTCGTGCCAGGCTTGGTGGTGCTGGGCGACACGCTGCTGATGCCCAGGATGGTGGGCTTACTCCCAGCCCCGCTGGCCTGCGTGGTAGTGATGATTGTGGTGGGCTTGCCATCTGCTGAGGTCACCAGCTTCAGGATGGTCCCGGCTGGCAGGGGCCCTTTGGTCTGCAAGGGGAAACAGGTGGACCAGCGTTACTGCCAGGACAGAAAGTCTAGCCTGGCTCCTCTCCACCATGGCCAAGCAGCTATGGGACTATTCTGAAGACGGTGGGTCACAGGCCGAGCAGTCGGACTTTCTGAGCAACACGTGCTCGGGGGACCTTCTCTAGGCAGGGACGCAAGTTCTACTTGCTGGAGTTGCAGGGACTCGGCCCCACGCGCTCACCTGGATGATCTGAGTCACGGGGCCCGTAGATGCCTGGCCTGTGACTGCAGAAGTCTGAACTGGTTTAGTCTGGACCACTGACATCACTTTGCCCAGATTGGAAATCTAAACAGCAAAGGAGGGAGCAGAGTGTTATCTGGAGACCAATCAAGGGCACTGCCTGGCCTGGGGCTCTCCAGGGCAGTGCCATAGCCTGGCAGCTGCCACATGCAGTCGGCTGCCACTCACCAGAGCACTGCCTCCTGGGACAGAGATGGGGCTCTTCACCAGGGTGATGGTCTTGGTGACCCCGCCCACAACTGTAGTCACCACCTGGGCTTGCTGGGCCACGGTCACAGTCCCGGACTTGTGCACCGTGATGATGGGCCGAGTGGATGTGTTGGCAGCGGAGGAGACCGATGTCCCCACCTGGGCAGCTGCAGTCTTCAGCATCCGAGTGGCTGGGTTGCTCACCTGCGGGCGGGGAGGAGAAAGATGGGTGATGGGTGGGATATCCTGGCAGGCCTGTAGCTCAGGCTCATCTCCCCCGACTCTCTTTCCTCTCTCCCGGAGACTGAAGAGCTCTGTGTGAACCACAGATCTAGCCTAAGGCTTCACATCCCTAAAAGTGAAAGCTTAGCCCAGAGCCCATGGCACGCACCAATTACAGACCATCAATCAGCCTCTGTGGGTTGGTCTAAATCCCTAGAGAAGTGACAACTGTCAGATCACATCACTGCTTAGGAGTCTCCGGCCCTGCGGTTGTTGGTTCAGAACCAGGCCCGGAGGATACTCACCATGACTGGCGAGGAGGCCACCTTGACCGTGGCTGGGAGGGTGGTAGTACCAGGTGTCACAGCCACAGTCTTGACGATGGTGGTGCCCGCTGGGACACTCAGCACCGTGGGAGCCGAGGAAGGAGGGATCTTCTGGGTGGCGGCGGCTGCAGCGGCCAGCGCAGCCATGCCGCTCATCTGTGGGTTGCTGCCGATCACCTGTGGTGGACACGAGCGTGTGAACCGGAGCACTGGGACCTACGCACTCTAGCTCTCAGCTCCAGACTTCACCAGGGAGCCTCCTTCCTGCCCAGGATCCTCGCAAACCTGGGTTCCTACCGCCAAGCAGGCAACGTGACCCCAAGGCAGGAGTTTGTCAGCAGCTCTGGATCTTCTCCAAAGTTAAGAGTCAGAGACAGCTCCCTCTCTCCATGGGCCCGGGGCAACCAACCCGCTTCCCTTTAGGTTCTCCCCTCAGGTTTCAGAACAAGCAAGTCCACATTCAAAAGGCCCCTGGGATCAGACGGCAGGAGGTCCTTCTGAGGCATCGACTTGGTAATTAATATTAACTTGGCAATGCAACCTCTTCGGTGCTTCACAGGTGAGAAAGGCCCAGGATGGATGGTGCTGGAGCTGGTGGGATTCTAACCCAGTCATCCTGCTGTCAATCACTGGGAGGTCCCGCCCCACCCAGCCATCTCACAATCGCGCCTCACCGTCCCCTGAGCACTCTGGGATGGCACAACCATTCGCACGCCTGCAGGAAGGGAGGTCACGGTGACAGGGGCTTTCCCGGCCTGGCTGGCGGGTCGCATGGTGACTAAGGGGGTTCCCGTTGTAGCCTGAGGACCAGTCACTTTGAGAACAGCAGGGACACCTGACGACAGAAGGAGGTGGCTATCAGCAGAGCCCCCCAGCCCCTGTTGGGTCCTTCAGCATTTAGACATGAACTGCTAGCGCTTCGTGTCTACTCTTTCCAAGCACCCTCAAAGTGACAGTTCCCACAGGAGGAACCGAGTTTGCCCCCCAACCCTTAACCCCACCACTCAATTGCAAGCCGGTACCGACAACTGCCAGGCATGCTTACTTGGCAGCCCTTACCCAGGAGCGCACTCTCATCCTGGTGGCCAGTCCCAGCCCTCAAGTGCTTGGCGCCCAGCTTACCTTGTGTCCTGGCTGCAGCGGGCACGGAAATCGAGCTCCCAGGCACCGGTGGCAACACCTGGATGGTGGTGGTGGTAGGGGGCGCGGCGGCAGCTTGGGGCAGGAGTGTGATGCCTACTTGGGTGAGCGGCTGCACAGCAGGTGCGGCTGCTGCGGGGGCAGGACTCTTGGGGGGGTTAGCAGGCACGGACGGGACTGGATTGGGTGTGGGGGAGGTGGCAGTAGCAGCCGTGGCAGGAATGTCATATTTCTGGAGCTGCAGAAGGTAACTGTCGGCGGTTGCCACTGCCCCCCAGCTCACCTCCAGGGAGTTGGTGTTTGCGCGTACCAGCTGTACCCGGGCTGGAGGCGGTGGCTTTTCTGCAAGAGGGTACAGCCAGGGCAGGGGGGAGGGGAAGACAGAGGCTTCAGGAGTGAGCATGGCAGGCCATGCTCTCAGGCTGAGCTCCACTGTAGAGGCCCTCAGGCTGCCTCTCCCCGTTGGCCTTACCTGTTTCCAGATACCAAAGGTCCTTGCAGCAGACCTGGTTGTTCCAGGCCTTTCGGTAGCCGTCACGCCCACTCCATATGTACAGGCGGGTATTGATGGCCACGGCACAATGGCCAGCTCGGGCTCGGGGGATATTGTCCTCCAGTGTGTCCATCAGGATGGTTTCCCAGGCCATGGTATCTGGGGAGAACGGGAGAAACCACAATCCCTATTGGCCCTTTGGCCTTTTGCTGGCAGGGATGGGGAATTAAAGCCAAGAAGGCATCAAAGATTGTTAAGTTAGAAAAAAAACACACCGCGCCCCCCCCCCCCCCCCGAACAACTCTGCCCGGCAAAGAGACCCTAACGAAGAAAATGAGAAGCCACAAACTATCCACTGAGAAAACTACTTGAAATACACAAAGGTTTCACATCTAACTACACAGGAGCCTATAGCAAGATACAGGCGAAGAGAACGCAAGTCATGGAAAAGGCAGCGGATCTAAGAAAAATGTATTATAGTACAATGTTCAACAGAGGAGAGGTGTGAATTTGATCTCAGTGCCTGCCCCAGCTGGGGCTCAAGGTGAACCGGGGCATGGGGCTGGCACAGGGCGAGATGTAATCGCTTATCAGACCTGGTGAAGAGCAAATGGTTCCACGGTCGCTAGGCACGGCTAGAGGAGTCTATGTGGGTACAGAGCAGCTTGGCAGCATCCCTTTGGCAGCAAAGGGATGCTGAGGTGTTTACCCTTCAGATACACTTGCACGTGGAGAGTTCTAGACACACGGTGCAAGGATACTCACGGAGCGGCGTCTGCGCAAGTCCCGACCCCAGGAGAGCAATTCAAAAGAATGAGGACGCTTGGCATATGGGGACGGGATGGTCTCCGAGACGGAGTGAATGGAGGACAGGTGCAGCTCTGAGGAGAGCAGGCTGCCGTTTGGTTTCTAGAGGAACCTATAAGCATGCTGGGATACACAGACGAGTCCCTGCAGGGTGGAGGAGAACCTACCAAAGCGTCTGCGTCTGAGAAGCAGAACAGGAAGCTCTGCACCCTGAGTCTTTTGGACTTCCGGGTGTCGGACCTCGTGTAGCAAGAGCCCATTCAACCAATTCGAAGAGCAGGGTCCCTCCAAGCGCTCTGACCAGTGGCTACTGCTCATGGATTCTAGAAGCCTGAGCCTTAGTTTTCTCCCTGCACACCCCGCACAGCTCCAGGGCCGAGGAGGGCCAGCTCCCCGCAGCCCTCCACAGGCCACTCCGAGCCCCAGGAGGCCATACCCAGGTTGAGACAAGCCAGGGTGTTGGTGCACTTCCACTCCTTCTCGTGTGTGGCCACTTTGACGTCATCCATGACGAGAGGTACCCAGCCACCAAACACGTACATTCTGGGATGAGGGAGGGAAGAGTAGGAGACGATTATAGAGGAGGTGGCAATCTAGAGGCCACCTCTTCCATCCAGAAAGTTCTCTAGACACGTGGTCCCCTAGCTCTCCCCAGGAGAGCCGTCTAGGATACATGAAGCTCTCGATGTGGTCCTCTTCTGCTTGGTGGCTCAGCCCTCCCAAGAACTGTCACCTCCACTACCAGGAACCACCGCTCAGCTCAGCTCGGTCCCCATCATTCTTACTTTCACTTTGGGACCTCGGTATTGACAAAGGCACCCAGCTGCTAATTAATATGTGGAAAATCTAGAACAGTGAGTGCCCCTCTGCTCTGTCCTCTCGCGGCCCTCCAGAGTGGGGTGATAATGAAAACACAGAGTTACTGAATGCCAACCCAGCCAGAAAGAGGCCTTCTCAGGACAAAACTGTGAGCCCTTTGGGGCCGGGTATAAGGGCCGGCGTGAAGGGAAAAGCAATGGCTAGCTACTCACTTGTTGCCTATGGTTGTAGCTGAGTGGAGACTTCGAGGAAGAGGGGCCACTCCGCTGAGACTGGGCTTATTCCACGTCAGAGTCTCTGCAGAGTGGCGGAGAAAGGAGGGTTACCCACACGGGGTCAGACATATGCTTCCTGACCCAGAGGAAGTTCCCTGGCCTCGGGGAAGGCTTTGGAAAGTGGTGCCAACCCTGTCAAAGAATCCCATGCCTGGTCCCCCCTATAGCCCAAGGGAGGCCCTTGGATCAGCTTCTGGCATTTCTCAAGCTGTGTTCGCCCATCCTGGCAACTGGCGTCTCTCAGATCTGCTATGAGCAGGCACTGCTCTCAAGGTTGGGGCAGACATGCCACTGGGCGTCCGACTCTCCAAAAAAGTGTTCATACCCACACCACCTCTACTGCCTACAGACCGAGTGTTGGGAAGCAGAGTGCTGCTGGGAGTTTCACTCATGAAAAAAAAAAAAAAGTGTTTCTAGCCCGGCCGGTGTGGCTCAGTTGTTGCATATCGACTTATGAACCAGGAGATCACAGTTTGATTTCCATTCAGGGCACATGCCCGGGTTGCGGGCTTGATCCCCAGTGTGGGACGTGCAGGAGGCAGCTGATCAGTGATTCTCTCATCATTGATGTTTCTCTCTCCCTCCCTCTCTGAAACCAATAAAAACACATAAAAAAAACAACCGCCCCACACCACTGTTTCCTTTGGATACCCACACTGATCGAATCTATCCTCCAAAACTACGTTGTCTTCTTCAGGTCAAAAATCCAAACTTCTTTCTACCACTCCGGACACCCTACCTGCTTCCCAACCTAAGTAGCCCCCAGAGGTCTCCCGGGCTCTTGAGACCCCTCTTAACTCGGACAGGCCAGTGTGCAATGCTCCTAGTGCAGGCTGAGCACTGAGGAATCGGCAGGGACTAACGCTATCTAATCTAGACAATTCCATTTTGGAAAGGCCCTCACTTCCCCTGTTGATCTCCTATAAGCAGACCAACTCAGCCTTGTTCTGGGAAAAAAAAAAAAAAAAAAAAAAAAGATAAAAAGAAAAACTGCCACAATCTTGGGGCAGATACGATAACCCTGAACAGGGTACTGCCTGCTCCCATGACAAGGACCCAAGCAGGACACTCCTCCTCCTCCTCCCTGTGGACCCCACGCTGGCTGCACAGCAGACCAGCTTTGCTCTCAGGCCACTGGAGAAGCCACACCCCCACCTTACCAATATCTAGAGTCCAGAGGTCCCCCAGGCGGCAGCCGCTCATCCCTCCGTAGATGACCAGCTTGGACTTCTTGTTGTCTTTCTCGGTGTAGACCACGGCAGTGTGTGACTCCCGCGGTGGGGGCAGGACACCGTAAGTGATGGGGATGTCCCAGGCCACCACTCCGGAGCCTGGCCGTAATTCCAGGATGTATAAGTCATTCAGGTACCTGGAGAAGAAACGTCAACTATGGCAAACTCACCAGCTTCTCTGGGTGAATGGAGGCTTCCTTGGGAGACAAAGGGAGCTATAGTCACATGACCAAGTTTTTCTACCCTCATCCCCAAAGGGGGGTTGCCAGAAGCTCCTAAGGATGAACTTGAGGCCAAAAGGAGCAGCAAGACAGGGCATGCTGGGTGTGGTATTGCTTCCAAACTTCAGAAAGGCCCTTGGCCACCAGCCATGGAAAAAAAAATAACCATCACTAACCCTACAGGCAGAAGTCTGGGAAAGTGCTGGCTCTAAACTGGGTCCTAGGTGCCCAGCCGGCATGGCTCAGTGGCTGAGCATGGTTCGATTCCCAAGCAGGGCACATGCCTGGGTTTCGGGCTCAATTCCCAGTGTGGGGTGTGCAGGAGGCAGCTGATGAATGACTCTCAACATTGATGTTTCTCTCTCTCTCCCCCCCCCTTCTTCTCAGAAATCAGTATGTGTTTTAAGAAATAATAAACTGGGTCCAACGAGTAGGAACCAGCCCAAAGCTAGGGAGGTGTCTACCTCCTGGCCAGGCCCTTCTTCCCCAATACCACCTCTTCCAGGCTGGAGAACTCAGTGCCCAAAAGCTCCTTACAGGGCATCTAGTGTCACCCTCTCCTGGCACAAAGGAAACTTGGCATGGTGGGGCTGGCTGGCAGGTGGGATTCCACATGAAGAGGACACAGCCTCACCTCGGAATGTTGTTCTTGGGGTCCTCGCTATCGTTGGCCAAGCCCCCAAACAGGTAGCATTTGTTGCCCACAAGAGAGAAGCTGTGCCCAAGCCGAGGACACGGAGGGGGCCCGTTTTTGGGTGTCTTTGCTTTGAGCCTCTTCCACTCCCACCGACTTGCCTGCAAAATCAAGACTCGGTGATTGAGTTGGGGATGGCCCACCTCCTGAGCCCAAGCTATTTGTCATGTCAGGAGGAGCTGGCCACCCCCTTCCCCCCATCATTCTTTCCTCACTGCCCCCATCCCACCCCCCACCCCCACCCCCGCCACAACTGTAAGGAGCACACCAGGGGCCATTACCTGGAGTTCGTAGAGGTCATTGCTGTACTTCCCATACTCTACCATTCCACCAAACACCAGCAGGCGAGTCCCGTCACACACAAAGCCATAGGCTGCACAGCCAGGGGGGATGTCCCCTCTCACAGCTGGGATGAACCACTGGTTGGTTGCTGGTGAACAAAAGGAAGCAGATGTCAGAATGACTCGGGAGCTCCCAGAACCAGAGTCCTCACTCCTGTTACTCCCCGAATCCACTGGCCTCAGAATATGGCCCGAGAAAGGAGGGGCTGGGACAGCGCCTCTATTTCCAAGGCCGTGGCCCTCTACCTCAGCTCTCTTCTAAGCCTCTTGACTTCAGAGGTCCCCTCAAAACAGCCTGCGAGCACGCTGCTTTGCATCGAGTTTGCCTTAAGAAGCCGGAAGTCACTGACCAAGATAATTCATCAGCTTCTGGGAACGTGGCCACCGACTTCCTTCCCCTACCGCTCAGTGGGTCATCAGAAAGAAACTTCTGACACCAGAATCCTCTCTTGGTGGCCCCAGGCTCCTCCTCCTAGGGGCCCACGACTGCACCTTTAGTGGCTGAAAGAGCAACTGGTACTGGCTGGTGTCCCCTTGTCCTTGCAGGTGCGGGGCACCCAAAGGAAGCCAATCAAGGCAGCCTGGGCTGTGGGAATGGGGCGCAAGGCCACACAAGAACGATCTCTGCTGGGGTCTCCTGGGCAGTGGTCCACATCCACCATCTCCCCGTGCCACGCCCACACCCCTCCAGAACACCCTCAAAAGCCAGAGGTGGCATGAGCTGTGGCACCTAACGGTCTCTGCCAGCCACAGAAGCTTCCCCCAAACCCATCACCTCTAGCTGGGGGCTCAGGAGGCCACCAAGATAGAAGACACAGAAGCCAGGCAGCAGAGAACTCATGGACATGGACAACAGTGTGGTGATTGGCAGGGTGGAGGGAGATGGGTGGAGGTGGAAGAGGGCAGAGAGGGGATAAATGGTGATGGGGGGAAAAAGTCTGGCCAGCGTTGCTCAGTGGTTGAGCGTCAACCTATGAACCTGGAGGTAAATCATCAAACTGGGGGTCAGTCTCAACTCTGCTTGTTTCCATGTTCCTAAATCTGTTTTGGTCAACATGAGCACGCAAAGGGATTGGGATTTGGGTGTGAACGTAGCACCAGCTGGGATCTGACTAGTATGGGGAAGGCCTTGGGAGGCCCCAGCTGCTTGCTGCTTCTTCGCCTGACTTCCCGCTCATCAATGCAATTGGTCATTGACATAGCGCCCCCTCAAGGCCCAACATGCATCTTGCCTGCCCTCATCTAAAAGCACAATTGCAAAAAACCACTGGCAGAGAAAACTCAGAAGTATGAAGATTGTTCCGGGGGCAGCTGTATATACAGAAAGTGAAACCAGAGCTATGTGACTATAGGGCCTACGCAAGTGATCCACCCTAAGGCAAGATCATTGTGGAGGCCAGACTCAGTGATTGGTGAAGGTAACCTAGCAGAATAATAGGCGCTGATCATAAATGCTCACTCTGATAATATCACCCCTGACTCTGAAGAGCCAGAACCCAAACCTGTGAGCACTGGCACCAATGTGTCTGGAGTTGGCTGCTAATCCCACCCAAGTCTGTAGGCAGAAATGTAATACTGACAAGTGGTCGCATCATTTGGGGCTTGTTGCATCCTAAATAAATTGAAGTCACCCTTGGGAATACAGTGATCTATGGTGTAGACCGGCGGTAGCCAACCTTTTGGGTCTCACGGACCACCGGTTGGCGACGGCCAGTGTAGACTGCCTTTGTCAGGTGCAGACGGAGCAACCACAGCCCTAGACACTACAGCTGGATCTCCTGATTTAAAAAATCTTGCCAAACTACCACCATTTAAAGAAGACTGTGAACCTAGCTGGCATGGCTCAGTGGCTGAACATCGATCTATGAATCTGGAGGTCACAGTTCGATCCCCAGTGGGGGGCATGTGAGAGGCAGCCGATCAGTAATTCTCTCTCATCACTGATGTTTCTATCTCTCTCCCCCTTCCTCTGTGAAATCAGTAAAAATATATTTTAAAAAAGGCTACAAAATAAAAGGTAACTCCAGTTAAGAGCTAAGAACAAGCTGTGACATCAAGATAACATTTTGTCTTTGACCGCTGTCTTCTGAAAGGGCCAGTGTTTATGTCCTCCTGGAAGGTCACCCAATATTACAAGTTGATTTTATTTTGTAAAAAAAACGGAGCTAGAAACAAAGGTGCCAGATCTTCATTGTAACTGTCCCCTACTATTTATTTAAAATGTATTATTTTCCTATTCCTTGTATTTTCCTATTCCTTGTTCCTTTTTCCAGTAACTTACCGATTCAGCTTTCTTTTGTTATATAAAACGTTGGCTACAGATTTTACTTGCACAAAAGACTGCCCATAAGAAAGGACATATTGTTATGCATTTATATTTTGCCGTGTACTGAACTAAATAAAAATGACAGGGGGAAAAATAAAATGATAAATAAAAGCACAGCTGGACCTCCTGAGACAGATTACAGCCCTACCGCTCACTCCCCACCACCCAACTCTACAGGTTGGTTTGGAAGAGGCTGCCTGGCCTCTCCGTGGTTTAGCTGAGTCATGGGGACTTTAGGATGCCTAGCACCAATCCTCCTCTCCCCTCCGCTGCCATGTTCCTAGCAGAGGTGCAATGCCGTACTGCCTGCCATGCGCATGCGCCCAGACCCAGGTCCCGGCTCACTGCCTCTCTCTCATTCCTCGTGCACATACACACCAAGAAAAGCCAGCAGCTCCCCATGCTGAGGCAGACGGCCCTGCATGAATGGTCCCCGAAAGGGATCTCGTCTGAGTTAGTGGGATTAAAGCTGACAGAAATCTCTGAGACCATCTCAGCCGAAGTCCCTTAATTGATAAAGAAAAAGAACCCAGGAGGGGAAGTGACTTACCTGAGGTCACAGAGCAAAACAGACCCAGACAAGAACCTCGTCACTTAAAGGGATCGCTAGATGCCCACCTCAGGGCCCCATCAGCCACCTTTGCTCTCCTGGAACATCCTTGTGGCTATGGGGCCGTCAATCAGGGCTGGGACAAAGCTACATGGCAAATGGCATCAGCCTACCAGTTTCCCAAGACACTCATTACCGACCGACCCAGCTTCCAGACTAGAAGTAACCTGGAATGTCACAATGATCAGCACATTCTATGGTGCACAAGAGGTCCCGATCTCGTTCTAGAACATTCCAGGCAGGGCAGTGGTTCAGGTACGAAGTTGTGAACTGCCTCTCTTCATTTCAGCCCCAGCCCCAGGGTGGCCCCCGAGATGGCACAAGCAAACGTCTCTTAAATATGACAGCTGCTCCTAGTCACCCCTTAATATTATCTCTAGCTCATCGAGTGGGGAGTGTTGTGCAACCCAATCTCTGGGTCTCTCCTCCTTGATATGCTCTGGTTTGGTCCCGGCTCTCAGCTGGGAGGGGGCTTTGAGGAAGGGAGGCCGCCTGCACCTGGGACCCTTCGTGGGATGGCCAGAAATACGACTCCACCTTCTCTCTCCTCAACAAGCCTGAAACCCCAGCTTCTGTGTTTTATCAGTCCCCCCAGCCCTTCCCATGCTGTGCCAACTCTGTCTATAGTAGCTGCTGCCCCGTCAGCCTCTATGCACCACCACCACCCAGAGACCCAAACCCACACAGCAGGTAGATGGTCCAGCCACACCAACTGCCTTTTTGTTCGCTGTCACGCGGAGGCACTTCCTGTGTGGCAGCCTCAGTGCCGGGAGGCACAGGGGAGACGGCTCGAGGACTCAGACTCCCAATCTACCGTGTTTCCCCGAAAATAAGACATTCTCTGAAAATAAGACCTAGCACATGGAAAGATAAGACATCCACTGAAAATAAGACCTAGCGCAACTTTGGGAGAAAAAATTAATATAAGACACTGTCTTATTTTCGGGGAAACAGGGTAGTAGGGAAGCTGCCACGTCCTCCTCCCACCATAGGAAGAGCAGCCAAGAAAGAGGTCTGCACTGAGCAGGGGCGATGATGGGGGGGAGGGGGGGCCTTCTCAGAAGAGGGGACCATTGGAGCTAGGCCTCGAAGGGTGAACGGGATTTCCCGACAAATGAAACTAACAGGGCCAATCAGGAAGTGACTGCAAGAACCATGTGAGGAGAGGGCCCCGGATGGAGGGGGAACAGATTTGAGACAATCTTGGTTCCGTGACTAATTAGCTACAGGGACAGGGGAACAGGGAGGCCTCTCCAGGGTGGTGGTCTCCATCTGTGAAGGGAGAGACAGCCTAACGGTCTCTGGAGAGATCTGTACTCCTGCCAAACTCTGAAAGCAGCTGGCAGGGTGACCCCGGACCTGTCACTTCCCTTCTTGGACCCTAATTTCCTCATGTGCAAAAACAAGGAAGTTTTACTAGATATTTTCCAAGGCTCCTTCCAGCTGCAGCAGTTGGCAGACCTTAAAGAACCATTGAGGCCAGCCAGCCTTGGGTGGCTCCTTTGGCAACTGGCCATGTCCTCCCCTCAGCAGGTCGCACCCCACCCTGTCAGCACCAGGTCTTCTGATTAATCCGCTTTGCTGGGCTGAAATGAAATTCCCCGAGGTCAAGGACGGCTACCCTAAGACCTCCCAAAAGCCAGTCAAGTGTCCCACAGCTGCTGTAGTGACTGTCGAAGAGGAAGAACACACACTTTCTCACACACCTGCCACTCCTCATTCTCCCTTGTCACACACTCCCCCCACCTCCCCACGTTGAGCTAACCAAACCAGCCTCCCACCTCCTGAATGCACCCCTTGGAGTCTTTTATCTTAGCAACAGGGATCTCTCCCAGCTCAGCGAGTCGCTGAGCTCTCATCCTGTAGAAGGAAAAGGGCAAGAGAGACCTCAGGACAATATGCTGACCTCGTTTAAAACAAAGGAAAGGTGCCCGGCCGGTGTGGCTCAGTGGTTAAGCATCGATCTATGAACCCAGAGGTCACAGTTCCATTCCTGGTCAGGTCACATGCTTGGGTTGTGGGCTTGATCCCCAGTGTGGGACGTGCAGGAGGCAGCTGATCGATGATTCTCATTGTTGATGTTTCTATCTCTCTCTCCCTTTCTGAAATTAATAAAAATGTATTTTGAAACGACAAAGGTAAGCAGGAGGGCAGCTGTGGAGGCAGCAGCCAAGGATGAGGGGCATCTGGGCCACCACTGGTGGGGAGGCAACAACAAGCCCCATCTCCCCAGAGAACACAGGAACCTTGCAGCTACAGGAAAGACCAGAGATCTCTGCACCGTTATTTGACCATATCTGTCGGAGCATATACACTCAGGAATAGGGAGGGGAGTAGGGTCGCTGGTCGCCCTCCTGGGAGTTACCCAAGGAGTGGGCTAGGGCAGTTTGCAAAGCGCTCCCCTGGAAGAATCTGGAAGAATCGAGGCTGCAGTCCTTCTGGAGGGCTGGCTATGGCCGACTACCCACCATATCCTTCTAGGCTGGGGATGAATCCAGGCAGAAGCCTTGTCATAAACTAACGAACATGCAGAGGCCCCAGGAAGAAGTGGACTTTGGAGTTGAGTTGATGCTAATTAGGCCCCTGCCCTACTTTCTAAAATGGTATTTCCCTGCCAAGGGGCCTGCTCCGGGCCTTGGGAAAATCAAGTTGGTCCAAGGAGCTGAGGTTCTGCTCGGGGCAGCGGCCTCTCTAAAAACAGCCCTGCCCCTCAGTCTTACCTTACCGGGCTAATTGCTGCCACCAGCAGCTGTCTGAGCTGGCACGGAGCACCACCAACCAGCCTGGCCTCGCTGCTGGAGGCAACAGGTGCCGAGACCCGGAATGCGAAGGGTCACTGCAACCCACCAGCCTTTGAAAGTCAAACTAGGTAGGTTGGGGGCAACCGCCTACAAGGTTCAGAGAAAACTGCACTCTGCCTGGGGGGGAGGGGGAAGCACCCAACCAAGAACCTAGCTCTAACCGTTGCCACTCCAGTCAACTTCTCCCTCCGCCTGCCAGCTCTCCACCCCAGGGCAACCTCAAAGCTGGAAGGGGTGCCCCAACCCAAGGACCCCGGACTTCCAGAGCCTGGGGGAGGATGGATCTGGAGCACGAGATGTTTTGCTATTTATGCTAGCAAGACGGAAAGAGCTGGTACATGGCCCCTGGCTGTGTCCCACCAGAACCCATCTCCCTGTGGCTGCAGAGGAGAGCTCCCTAAAAGATACTGTCTGATGCAGGGGACGGGGGCTTTCTCCTGCCCATCCAGGCCTTGGTCCCTCAGGCTCTCACCCAGAGCACAACAGACACAGGCCCAATGTTCCCAGTGCCTTAAGCCCCTCCTTACGAGCAAGGGGAGGTACTACGGGCCAGCAGCCATTCAACAGCCCACTCAGAATGAGGCAATAGGTGTGCAAATCGGGCCAAGTGGCCGCCGTGGGGAGGGGGCTGCAGGAGGATGCAGCCAGGCCTTAGAGACCTAGCAAGGACAGCAGGCAAAAGGCTGATAGCCAGCCACAGGCCAGCATACCTACAGACAGAAGCCCAGTCTGCGTTCTTTCAACCACCCAATCCCGCTCTTTCTCCCCCCTAACCCCCCCCCCCGGCCCCCCCGCGCCCAATAAAACTAGGCCTTGGGTTCAGGGGAGGCATGAACATGGACAGATAACCTCTTCCAACCTCAGGCAGAGGAGTCAGGTGAGGGGCCACCTAAGCCCGCTGTGGGATCACTGGAATTCACCTCTTATCTCCGAGGATCAAGAAAACCGGTCATTTGAAGAGAAACATCGCAGAAGTGAATGCCAAGAGAGGGAGGCGGCAATGCTGCCTGGTCTGTGCTTGCCCGAGGCTCCTGCACCATCTCTGGGAGGTTACCCGCCAACCACACAAGCCCCCCGCCCCCCACCCCCGCCCCCGCCCAAATCGGGACTGGGCTGCTGGAGTCTGCCCCTTTTCTGGAGACAGAACTCATCTGTAATCTAGAAGTTGTCATCTCTCCCGAATGAGCATTAGCGATGAATAGCTGAGCAGGCGCAGGAGGAAGGAGGGAGGGAGGAGGGAGGGAAGGAGGGGGTGGGAATCAGCCTGCACCAAGGGAGGCATCCGCCAGCCCGCTCGCCCGGGTAACGGTGTATGTCTGAAGTCACCACCACTGGCGACGCCCCCGCACCAGCCGGACTAGACGGTTCCTCTTCAATAATGAAAGCGCCCCTCAAACACGAGTCAGGGGGTGTCAGAGCGGAGGAAAAGGCAGAGCAACGAGGCAGAGCGAAGGGTTATGGAGGGAAGAAAGCAGGATCGGCGTGGAAGGAGGAGAGGAATGGGAGAAGGGGGAGAAAAAGGAGGGGAGGAGAGAGAAGAGAGGCGAGGGAAGTGATGGATGGAGGGAAGGAGAGGAGATGGAGGGAAAAGGGAGGGAATAGATGGAAGGAGGGAAAGATCCCAGGACCCGGCGGGCTTTGCACTCACCCGTGTTGTACACGTGCAGTTCGTCCACTATCCCTTCGTTGCCACCGCCGAACACCACGATGAGCTCCTTGATGGCCACGGCGCGGTGGCCGTGACGGGGTCGGGGCACTGGACCCGACCAGCCTACCACTCTCTTCCAGCGGGGCTGCAGGAGCACCGCTGGAGAGTTGGCGGGCGACACGGCCGAAGCCATAATTCCGGGAAAGGGAGCGATGGGGGAAAGTCACAACGCGGGAAAGGAGCCCCCCAATACCTCCCACACACCCCCTTTAGTCTAAGGCAGCTCTCTCGGAGAAGCAGTTCCTCACACAGCGGTGGACGGCTCCATGGAGGCCGCCATCTTAACTACCCTCCTTCCCTTCGGCTCTTTTCCTTCTTCTCTTCCACCCGACTCTTCAAAAGCGTCCCGAAGCTGTAGAGCGGCTAGGCCCGAGAAGCTTGAGGCATACGAGTCCAGCCGCTCTGACTACTTGCCCGGGTGCTCCTGCTTATAAGCTCGGGCGGGAGGACCTGGGAGCCGCCATCTTGAGCCGCCTCTCTCTCCTCCCTTCCTCAGTCGTAGCCCACACCCGCCGGAAATGGCGGAGCCCCGGCCCGGTTCCCACACCCCCCAAGTCCCCCGCACTGGCCGGCTTCCGGGGCGGGTGGATAGGAGCCACCAGCGCCGCGGTTGTCCCAGCCCCGCCGGTGCTCAGACCACAATTGTGGGAGCCGCCATCTTGAGACCGTCCCGCTTCCCCGCCCAGCGCTTAGTGCAGCCGCCGCTCCCCACACAGTCTCGACACTCGTAAGGAAGAGAGGCGCGCCGGAGGCCAGTGGAATGAGCTGGAATTCTCAGGAACTGCTCAGACCCTAGCAGTTCGTACGGCTTGTGAGGTCTTGAACCTCTCCCGTCAGTTCGCCTCAGCTGCTCAGGCTGCGCCGGCCGCCCTGGGAGCCGCCATCTTGAGATTAGCTCCCCCTTCTCCCCTATTCTCTTCTTCCTGGGTCAGTTCTTCCACTGCAAACAAAACGCAAGGCAGCGTCGGATCCTCGATTCCCACCTTATGACTCCTTCCCACAGGAGCCGCTTCAAAGAGCCAGGTTAGGCCGTGAAGTGGCAACTGTACGGCACGCGGAGCGGTAACGGCAGGGTGCTCATGCCTCCTCCCTGGGAGCCGCCATCTTGTGTGAAGAAGTAACAACTAAACATGGCGGCTGCGACGGTCGGGCGAGGGGGCGGGGTCGGGTGACGTCACAACCCCCTCCCGCCTTCGCGCCGCTTCGCCTCTTAAAGGAGCCCCCGCGTTGCCCCGAGGCAAAGGCCTGGGGTCCCTGCGCGCTTATCTCGGGCTTAAGCCGCGCCCGAGTCAGGCGCCGGTGCGCCCATCCCCGCTGTACCCTTCGGCGCTCTTCCACGCCTCCGCCGTGGGAGCCGCCATCTTGCCACTTCCCCTCGCCCGGCTGTCCGCGGGCGTCAATAGCGACTTTCAGCACAAAACAAAGATGGCGGCTGCGGCATCTAGGGAATACCCGGATGAGAATGCTTCTGACGAGCTTGGCCCCGCCCCCCTTGGGAACCGTTCCCCGGGCCCTTATGGCGACACACGCCCGAGGAATTGCCTTTATCTAACAGTGGGGACAGGGTATTGATTGCCGAGGGTAGCTGACGGGAGTCGCTCAAGTCTCGCCTCGAGTCGGGCAGCGAACGTTTCGCCGCCCCGTAAACCCAGCGTCCGCCGAAAAGGCAGCTCGAGCCCCATGCCGGGGAGCTGGAGGCGGGGCGAGAGTGGGCGGTGACGCAGCCGGCTCCCAGGCTCCCAGGCCGCCAGCTCCGCCCCCGGGAGCCGCCGCCGCTCCTTCCCTCCCCATCGAGAGGGGCCGGGCCGCGCGCCAGGGCGCCGCTGCGCGCTGAGCGGCTCCCGGCCCAGCCGGCCGCGGGGCGGGCAGCCAGGCTGGCGGCGTCGGAGCGGGGCGGGCGCGCGGGCGGGCGCGCGCGGGAGATTTCAGCGCGGCCTCGCGTCACCTCGCGTCACCCCGCCCCGCCCGCTTCCCAGAGCCCCGCGCCCCGCCCCGCCCCGCGCGCATGCGCAAGCCCGCTTCTCGGGTCCGCCCTTTTTTGAGATTTGAATTTCCCCCAGCAAAGTGAGGGAGACAAAGTACCCGGATGGTGATCGCTGGCCTTTTCGCGCCAGTACTGTGAGTTCTCACAACAACCTTGAGAGGTGGGTACTGACGTCGCCCCCGGGTTCCAGATCCGTTACGAATCTTGCGAGAGAGGCCGCCTGGGTGCCGGCTGCACTGTCATGCTCACTGCTAGACTCGGGCCGTAGTGCAGGGGTCCTGCACAGGTGTTTGGGGACTGGCAGTGACAATAGATGATTTTTTCCACTTTCATCTCTATTTCTTCTTTATTTTCACCAGCCTCTAGCCGAAATGTGGCCTTTCCCGCAATTACGAATATAGACCGCAGAGCACAGAGCCTTAGGAGGTGACTGTCACCACGGAAAACGACAGAGCAGTCATTTCATAGCTCACAGCTTTTGTTGTAGCTATCCTGAAATTAATTAAATGACAAGACATACTGGCAGGCAGAATAACTACTTTGAAATTACTGTAGTTATTCAAACTGCCTGGAGATCCTCGAATTTATAAGTAAAGAAGCACATATAGAACCCTATCTCACATTTTCAAAAATATTTTAGTGATTGTCTTTGGACACTCATTTTTTTTTTTTTTTTGTCGTAATCCTGTTTTTCTTTATACATTTGGGAGCATTTGTTTGAGAAAGGCCAAAGAGGCCTCTACCTGTGTGGCGGTGCTACCGAGTGTCATGACCTTGGCCATTCACCTCCCCTCTCGGGCCCTGGGTCCCTCCCGTGTGAAATAAGGAAGCCGAGCTGCTGGTTCCCAGGGGCCTTGCCCACACTCAGCGATTCTCTCCTCAGAGTTCAGGAAGCCCTGTGGTTGCTCCAGGTTTCTTGGGCACTCGGGTGGCTCAGAGGGACCTCACCCTTTTTTGGGGGTGTCCCACATTGCAGCTCTGGGGCTGGTGTCACCTTATCTGCAGAAAGGCAGCAAGGGTGATTAGGGTAGTCTGGGGCACGAGCAGCAGTTGTCAAATGCTACAGGCCAAAGAAGCCACCACTGTGACAGGTGATAGCGGCTTCTGTTTACATACAGATCACCCCAGGAAGCTGGACAATGAATCGAAGGAACATGTGTTAGCCAGGAGACTGTCATGCTTTCCGGGACCCCCGCAGAAGACCTATCAAATTGACAGTGTTTGACTCCTGTCCCTGGCTCCATGCTGGCTGGCAGAGAGGAGGGTCAGGCTAGTTCGGGCTACATGGGGCCCTTAAGGCCTGGCACTTCACACCAGGGAGCCAGGAGCCAGGCCCCAGATCGGTGCAGGGAGGGACTTAGCTCCTGTCCCAGCCAGAATCAGAGGTGCTGAATGAAGAAGTGCCTGAGCCAGGCCGGCATGGCTCAGTGGTTGAGCATTGACCTATGAACCAGGAGGTCACGGTTCCATTCCCAATAAGGGCTCATGCCCGAGTTGTGGGCTTGATCCCCTGCGGTGGGCATGCAGGAGGCAGCCCATCAGCGATTCTATCTCATCATTGATGTTTCTATCTCTCTCCGTCTTCCTTCCTCTCTGAAATCAATAAAAAATATATATTTTTTAAAAAAGAATCAACCAATGAATGCATAAAGAAGTGGAACAACACATCAATCTCTCTCTCACACCCTTCCTCTCTCTAAAATCAATAAAAATCAGTAAATAAATTATTTGCTTCTGTGATTGCAGGAAATGGGGAGTTGTATTGTGGGACAAGGAAAGAGGGTGATTGCGGGGGGGTGGATAGCAACTCTGGGGAGAGCAGAAGGTGAGCCAGGGTAGCAGGCCTGGAGGAGAGCGCCCTGTGCTGCCTGCCTCACACCCAAGAAGCAGAGGAGACATGCTCATAGTCCTCCCCACCCCCTACCCCCACCCCGTCCCTCCTCCTCCAGCACCACACCATCTCTTGCCTGGGATTCCAGAGCTCAGACCACAGCTAATGGTCTCTGGTTCAACTGGGTATTTGGCTAAAAGGGTTTTGGGGCTAGTCTGGAAACTTCCACATTTATAACGTCACGGAAGTGTGAAAACCCGTTCTGGTTGTAAGAACAGACCTAGGGATGTTGGTGTGTATAAATACAGTGGCTCTAAGGGAACTAGGGCAAGGAGCAGGGTTTTTTAAAATATACTTTTATTGGTTTCAGAGAGGAAGGAAGAGGGAGAGAGAGAGAGAAACATCAAGGATGAGAGAATCATTGATCAGCTGCCTCCTGCACGCCCCCTACTGGGGATCGAGCCTGCAACCTGAGTATGTGCCCTTGACCAGAATCGAACCTGGGACCCTTCAGTCCGCAGGCTCTATCCACTGAGCCAAACGAGCTAGGGCTAGAGCAGGATTTTTATAGTCCATGGATGAGAGAAGAACAGCATAGTTGTCAAGAGGCGCAAAATGCCTTGGCAAAAGAAGATTCTAGAAGCCATGTGTAAGAAGGTGAACATACTAGCGCTGTAGGTATCATTTCACTTTTACATGTTTTTGGTGTGTGTGTGCGTGTGTGTGTGTGTGTGTTTGTGTTTGTTTGTTTCTGATGAAAACTGTGGGTCCTGAGGCTGAGAGTCAGCAAGATGGAGGCTTTTCTTTGGATGGCTTTCTTTTTAACCACACTCTTTTTCTAACCACAAAGGAAAAAGGCAGAACAGCCCTCCACTCGTGCCAGCCAATCAGCGCGCCCTCCGCCTCCGCCCCGGCCTCGCCACCTACACTCCAGGGCAAGGTTGTAGCATCTGCGTCGGAAATCACGGGACATCTTCCTGCTGGCTCAGCTGGGAGGCCCAGGAGCGTTTTTGTGTGTTTTTTTTGCAAAAGCTGTTTGACTTCTGAAAGGACAGCGAAGGCTGCCACTCTCTGAAGCTCTCCGCCCCAAGTCACAACCGGGCTTCCTCATGAAGCCTGAGTCCGGGCAGGCCCTCTGCCACGTGGCCGTGGCCACCTGCCTCTGCGTGGCCACCGTCTACACGGGTGTTTTTGAAAGCGTCTTTGTAGAAGTAGGCTACAAGCACTATGCAGAAGCCCCGGTAGCCGGCCTCCCCGCCTTCCTAGCCATGCCCTTCAACTCGCTCATCAACGTGGCCTACGTGCTCCTGGGGGCGCACTGGCTGCAGAGAGATGTCAGTGCCCGGGGGCACCCCGGGGAGGCGCAGCGAGCTCGGTACCTGAAGGATGTCTTCGCAGGCATGGCTATGGTGTACGGCCCCGTGCAGTGGCTGCGGATCGGGCTGCAGACGCGCCCTGCTGCTGTGCTGGACCAGTGGTTCACCTTGCCCATCTTCGCGTGGCCCGTGGCCTGGTGCCTCTACCTGGACCGGGGCTGGGAGCCCGGCCTGCTCCTCGCCATCGAGTGCCTCTCGCTGTCCAGTTACGGCCTTTCCCTGCTGCATCCCCAGGGGTTTGAGGTCGCCCTGGGCGTGCACATCGTTGCCGCCGTGAGCCAGGCCCTGCGTGTCCACAGGCGCCACGGCAGCACGTGCTCCGGGGTGTACCTGCTCCTGGGGGTGCTCTCCTGCCTGGGCTTTGTGGTCCTCAAGCTGTGTGACCACCAGCTGGCCCAGTGGCATCTCTTCCAGCGGCTCACAGGCCATTTCTGGTCCAAAGTCTGTGATGTGCTTCAGTTCCACTTTGCATTCTTATTTCTGACAAATCTCGACACTTGCCAGCGACTCCCTCCTAAGGGGAAGATGCAGTAAAGCGTGGAAAGAGGCTACTGACAGCCGCTGGCCGCAATGGCAGAATGGATGATCAGATGAGATTTTGTCCTCAGTATTAAATTCCCTGGGCGTGCTAAGAGATGATTATTACATGGGCGATGCTCTTTTTCCTTCGAAGTGATGGGCTTCAATATTTAGGCGTGAAATGGTATTCCCTATCGCACTATCCTTTTCACTGCTCTGTATTATGAAATTGTTCAGAATAAAATGTTGGGTGCCAAAAAAAAAAAAAAAAAGTTGGATGCCTAGCCAGTGTTGCTCAGTAGTTCAGTGTCAAATCAGGTGGTCACGGTTCGATTCCCAGTCAGGACACATGCCCTGGTTGCGGGCTCAATCCCCAGTGTGGGGCATGCAGAAGGCAGCTGATCAGTGATTCTCTCATCGTTGATGTTTCTATCTCTTTCTCCCTCTCCCTTCCTCTCTGATATCAATAAAAATATATTTAAAAAATAAAATAGCCCTCGCTGGTTTGGCTCAGTGGATAGAGTGTCATTCATCCTGTGGACTGAAGGGTCTCAGGTTGGATTCTGGTCAAGGGCATATGCCCGGGTTGTGGGCTCGGTCCCCAGTAGGGGACATGCAGGAGGCAGCTGATCAATGATTCTCTTTCATCACTGATGTTTCTATCTCTCCCTCTCCCTTCCTCTCTGATATCAATAAAAATATATTTAAAATTTTTTTTAATAAAATACATACATAAAATGTTGGGGATAATGACCCCAAGAAATTCCTGATGCTTGCAGTTGGAGAGAGAACTTCAGGATGTGGGTTACAGAGTGGGCTGGTGACAGTGGTAGCTACTGGCCAGGCAGCGGGGTTACCCGAGCGTGTCCCCAAGAGTTGAGGGTCAGGGAGAGTGAGTCACATGAAATACATGCCCAGCAGATTGATAGGGAAATCAGAAGGCCAGAGCACTAGCTCACTGTGACATCTTAACTGCCAAGCTGACAGCAGGTCATATGGAAGCCACATCACTCCGTAGCTTTTGTGGAACAAGGCAGGGTGCGGTGCATTTAGATGAGGAAACACACAAATGTTGTTTTTAAAAATATTCTATTGCTTTTTTACAGAGAGCAAGGGAGAGGGATAGAGAGCTAGAAACATCGATGAGAGAGAAACATTGATCAACTGCCTCCTGCACACTCGCTACTGGGGATGTGTCTGCAACCAAGACACCTGCCCTTGACCGGAATCGAACCTGGGACCCTTGAATCCACAGGCAGACGCTCTGTCCACTGAGCCAAACCGGTCAGGGTACAAATGTTAAAAATGGAATTCTCAACAGAATGTTGCTTGGTGAGTCCACCCTCAGCCAAGGTGTGTCTTAGATGTCCTGAGAGTAGATTTTCAACCTTTTTCATCATGATATACATAAACTAATTACTAGAAATCAGCACACCAAAAAATATTTTTTGCCAGTCTGAAAAAATGAAATAGGTATAATTTTGATTCATTCACACCAGACAGCTATTGTGTTAACTGTTGTCATTTTATTTTATTTATTTTATTTTTTTAAAATATATTTTATTGATTTTTTACAGAGAGGAAGGGAGAGAGATAGAGAGCCAGAAACGTCGATGAGAGAGAAACATCGACCAGCCGCCTCTTGCACACCCCCTACCGGGGATGTGCCCGCAACCAATGTACATGCCCTTGCCCGGAATCGAACCCGGGACCTTTCAGTCCGCAGACCGACGCTCTACCACTGAGCCAAACCGGTTTCGGCGTGTCATTTTATTTTTTGACAGTATAAGGGGAAAGAGGTCAGTGCCTCTGATAAAATAGTTTTAAAAATTATTGTGGGCCCAGCCAGTGTGGCTCAGTGGTTGAACGTCACCCTATGAACCAGAAGATCACGATTCAATTCCTGGTTAGGGCACAAGCCTGGGTTGCAGGCTTGATCCCCAATGTAGAGTGACAGGAGGCAGCCAATCCATGATTCTCATCATTGATATTTCTATCTCTCCCTTTCCCTTCCTCTCTGGAGTCAATCAAAATATATATTTTTTGAAAAGGTGAGGGCAGCCCTAATCGGTTTTGCTCAGTGGTTAGAGCATTGGCCTGTGGACTGAAGGGTCCCAGGTTCGATTCCGGTCAAGGATATATACCTGGGTTGCGGGCACATCCCCAGTAGGAGGTATGCAGGAGGCAGCTGATCAATGTTTCTCTCTCATCAATGTTTCTAACTCTCCCTCTCCCTTCCTCCCTGTAAAAAATCAGTAAAATATATTTTTTACAAAATAATAAGGTGAGGGCAGAGAAAGGATGCCCTGTCCCTGCCAAATGGCATCTCAGGACTGGTCATCCATGTGCATTAGCTCAGTGCCCCCCCCCCCCAGGTCTCTTTCCCATGAGCCTCTCAGGTTGGCATGCGGCCCGTTGCTATGACTACCAAGATGCTTTTGAAATGGGGTACCTCGGCTGGAGGACCTCTCCTTGGCTGGGCACATCTAAAACGGGTGGTGGGTCTCCACCAAGCTGTCACCTGAAGAACCCAGCAGGTGCCAGCCTATGAGGGTTGCCTCTGCTTGGGTGCCAGCCAACCAGCCTCCACCGCTCCCCCGCCCCCAAAGGCCTGGGCAGATGTTGGGCCAGCGCAGGACTTGGGAGCCCGAGGCAAGGCATGCCAGCAGGTGAGGAGCAGGGGCAGCATTTGCTCCGGGAAACAGCTTTATTCCATTACGGTTGTGTCAGAGGCCCTCTGAGCCCTACCAAGAGGAAAAAGCTCGTGGGCGTCTCCAGAGAGGCTGCCCTTATCTCAGAGAGGCCTGAGGGAGAGAGAGAGGATGTGCTTCCTCGGGTGGCCTGGTTAGAGATGAGGGTGGGAGGGTGGAGGAATGACGGGGGCGGGCTGTTCACCTCGCATCTGGGTGGTTTCCCCCCTTTTGCCGTTTCTCCCTGCGTCGCTGTTTACTTGGCTGGCACAGTGGATCCTCTGAGAATTGCTGGGACTTGCAGCCTAGCGTTGCTCATTCCACGCCATCAGAAGCACAAGCACCAATTACTTCTTCGATTTCTACCAATACTTCATAAAGTACCCTGAGAACCTTCTGGCTTTCATTCCACGCCTGTGTCAGGCTGGGTCCCCACAGGAAACAGGTGGTAGGCTCAGATTAGGGTGATTGAGGACGGTTTCAGGGAGAACTAGAACACCACTGTGCCGGGGTGGGGGCGGGGGATCCACAGCGGGACTTCACCACTCGGCCTGGGGAGAACCTGGGGAAGAGACCTCCAGAGGCCCTACCCACTCTCCTGCCTGTCAGATGAAATGCGGGACGATGAATGTTTTAGTATCAGTATGTCTAAACTATCACATGAGCCCTAGCCGGTTTGGCTCAGTGGATAGAGCAGCGGCCTGCGGACTGAAGGGTCCCGGGTTCGATTCCAGTCAAGGGCACACGCCCGGGTTTCGGGCTCGATCCCCAGTAGGGGGCGTGCAGGAGGCAGCCGATCAATGATTCTCTCTCATCACTGATGTTTCTATTTCCCTCTCCCTTCCTCTCTGGAAAAAAAAAAAAAAAAAAGACATAAAATATCACATGAGATGCCCCTAGCCGGTTTGGCTCAGTGGATAGAGTGTCAGACCTTGGACTGAAGGGTCAATTCCGGTCAAAGGTACTTAACTCAGTTGCAGGTTAGATCCCAGGCCCTGGCTGGGCAGGGTGAGTGGGGGAGGCAACCCATCGATGTGTCTCTCTCACATCAATGGTTCTCTCTGTCTCTCCCCCTCCCTTCCCTCTCTCTCTAAAAAATCAATGGAAACATATCCTCGGGTGGATTAACAAAACAAAAAGATAAACAAACAAGATAACTATCACATGAGATGTGCATACCTTGAAAAATTCTTCGTTGTTATCTGACTTTCAGATTGAACGGGGAACGTGTTTCTATTTGCTAAGTCAGACAACCCTCCGTTGAACTGACCCAATTAAAGCCAGAGGCCTGGAACTTTCTCTTTCTGCCCCCGTTTTTGATGAGTGCGTCTCAAAAAGCGTGGCCAGCATTAACCATGCAGCTCCTGGTCCCTCCAGCCCTGGCTTCTGGGGCTGGGACCACAGACCGCCTCAGCCCTGCCCTTCCCCCCGCCCTCCCCTCCCCCCCTGGGTTCAAGGGTGCCAGGAACATTTGAGATGCTGAAGGAAGGAGGCTGGTGGCTGTACCCCCACCCGACTGTGCTCTAAGAATCTTCTCCTTCTTGCCCCTCCCTGTTCCTTTATCCGTTGTTGTCACTATCATCCACTCCATCTTCCACTCCCCCCCACCCCCCACAGCACAGCTGAGAAGCCAATAGCTACCAAACGGGGCCCTCTCCCCACGTTTGGCCTAACGGTTTGATTCCAGAGCTGGGAGGAATCTTAGCAACCATCTGCGCCAACCCCCACATTTCACAGAAACTGAAACTCTAGAAGTTGGTCTTGGCTGCAAGTTGCGACACAGTATCAGCAACCCGGGCATCCCCTCGCGGCCAAAGCCCTGTCCTGTCCACTCCTGCTGCTCTGCCTGTCCGGTGGCATACCAGGGCTCGGAGATTTGCCCCCAGGGAACCTAGACGTGCTGGTTCTGCTCTGATTGCGTAGGTGACACTGGCTCAGGGGGCTTCCGTGACGCTCCGACTACTTCACCCTGTCCTCACCCAGCACACTGATTCCCTGCCAGATAATGCACAGGCGCGCCCTAGCCCGTTTAGCTCAGTGGCTAGAACGTCAGCCCGTGGACTAAAGGGTCTTAGGTCCAATTCCGGTCAAGGGCACACATCTCGGTTGCAGGCTGGGTCTCCAGCCCCAGGTCGGGGCGCATACAGGAGGCAAGCAATCGATGTGTCTCTCTCACATCAATGTTTCTCTCTCTGTGTCTCTCCCCCTCTCTTCCACTCTCTCTAAAAAAATAAATGAAAAAAATATCCTCAGGTGAGGATGAACAAAAAATTAAAATAGAATAAAAAGAAAGTGCACCCTGGAGCTCGTCTTTCTGTGGGTCATTCTCAGGAGTGTGATTGAAGGGCGCAGGGGCCCTCGCTGGTGTGGCTCACTTGGTTGGGCGTGGTCCTGTGCAACAAAAGGTTGCGGGTTCAATTCCCAGTCAGGGCACATGCCCAAGTTTCAGGCTCATCCCTGGTGGGAGGTGTGCAGGAGGTGGTCAGTTGATGTTTCACACTCACATCGATGTTTCTCTCTCTCCCTCCCTCCCTTTCCCTTTCTCTCTCTCTCTCTTAAAATCAATAAAAAAAATATTTATT